GCATATGTAGGTGAATTAATATTACTCAAAATCTCACCAAGACATTTATTTAAAAATCTGTCAAATTGCTTTACAAATTTATAAAAATTGGTGAGTGCGTGTATATAAAATTTTCAAGCTTATTTTTAAAAAGTGCAATTACTGTCCACATGCTCATACTGACTGTTGAAGGTAGTTCAAAGGGGGGAAAAGGAAGCATTGCCTTGTAATGCAGCTTTAATTAATACTGACTTACCCTGGGACTTCATGAAAGCTCCTTTGTTATCACCTATGGTGAAATATTAAAGATCAATAGTCCTTCTTTCTGAATAAAGTATGCAAAATGAGACTTTATTTTTCCAGAATAACTTGATACCATGAAAAACTGCATTCATTTTGCAGATATTACTGATATCTCACATTATTTACTTTAAGAAATTTTATCTTACTTGAAATTCAAAAAGAAACCCACAAGACCTGTTCTAATACATTCACTGAATGCAGATTTAAGTAGGCACATCTATTTTGAGTGTGCCCTTTATTTGTGTACTTTAAAATGATTATACTATAATACATTTGTATTTTTTAACTGGCACCAAAATTAAGATGAAATGATATACATAAAACCAGCAGCCTGTTCTCTAGTAACAGTTGTCAAATGCATACACAAAAAAGCCCTGAGTCAGTATCTTTTTTTTTCTACGAAAGTAATGAAAGAGGATGCTCTGAAGTCATTTCAACTTATGCAATGGTTAAGACTATCCAGTATTTATTTGTTGTGTTTTCATTTTGATTGAAGAGAGTCATAGCTTTTGTCTCCTTAATCCAATTCAGATCATTTTTAATACTCAATATCATTTAAATCCTCATAATATCCTGATGATTGTTGGTTTGTATCTTCCATTTCTATCAGAAAAAGACAATAATTATTTTATCCATTTTTTGTTACATAAAAATAATCTTTCATTCTTATTATTTGAAACTGTAATATAAAATCCTTTTCACAATCAACCTTCTATAGTTGGGGAAATATTACCTGCACATGGTCCTGCCTGAAATTTAACATCATCAATGGCAATATCACTTCTTATTGACACTCCTCGAATGGCTTCAAAAATTATCTGAAAAAGAATGAAGGTTGAATTTAGAAATAGGGTCAAGCTGATAAAACAATGTTGGTCAGAGAAGGTACAGGCTTTATGGTTCTAGAGGCTTTGATAATTCTTGGAGCCGCCTTTAAGGAAAAGAATACAAAATTACAAATTCAAGGCCTGCACTTGCAGTTCCAGCAATCCAGAGCTCTAGCTAAAGCTGGACTGCTGCAAATTCAACCCAGCTTTGACTGTCTTCTGAGTTCCAGGCCAGGGTACACAAAGTAGCGAGACCTTGTCTTCAAACAAAGAAACTAAAACAAAATAGCAAATTCAAAATAGTTTTTTTGCTTGGAATTTGAAGATTTTATGATGAAGTCTGAAGCCCTGACGATTGAGGTTCTTTTCATACGATCTCCCTAGATAATTCACCAGAAATACTTGCCTAAAAGTGCCTTAATAGTGACCCCTTTTCCCTGCCTGTGCTGGTTAGTTTTTATCAACTTGACACAAACTAGAATCACTTGGGAAGAGGGAACCTCAACTGAAAATTTTTCCAGATCAGATTAGCCTGTGGCTACATCTGTGAGGCATTTTCTTAATTACTAGTTGAAGTGAGAAGGCCTAGCTCACCATGGGTGGTACTGTCACTAGCAGGTAGGCCTGGGCTATATAAGAAAGATAGCTGAGCAAGCCAGAGGGAGCAAACCAGTAAGCAACATTTCTTTGTGGTCTCTGCTTCAGTTCCTGCCTCCAGGTTCCTGCCTTGGCTTCCATTGATGATGGGATATAAGTTGAAGCAAACTCTTTCCTCCCCAATTTGCTTTTGGTCATGGTGTTTACCACAGGAACAGAGAAGCAAACCAAAACAGAAACTGGTACCAGGAGGCAAGTGTTGCTGTAATGGACCTGACCATGTTTTAGGCGACAATTGTGGAGGATTTTGGAGCTTTGGACTAGAAAAGTCATTAAGTGTTCAGATCTTAATGAGCTGTTGAACAAAGTTGGAAGATAATGGTGAGAGAAATGTAGACAGTGGAAGCCTAGCTTATAAAGTTTCAGAGGAAATTTTGAGAGCCCCTCAAAAACTTTATTGGGTCATTTGAGTAATATTTTGCATTGACAATCTGTGGTATCTGGTCAGCTGGGGCTAAAGAATTAGTTATGATTAATAAGAGATCAACATCACTGAGATGAAATCTCGTGAGGAGTATTTTCTCAGGGTCATTACACAAAAGCTGTGTTCCAGTGGTGGGTAGGGGACGGTTATACCTCAAGGTGGAAGCCAAATATGGTACTGATTTTGAAGGCATGAAGGGTCATGGAGAGCAGCTGAGATGTGGCACTGTGAAAGGCCATGAGAGGTCAATGGTGAAGGCAAAGTCTCAGTTAAGGTGGAGATCCCAGGATACTGGAGATGCCAGGACTATGGGATGACCATGAAGGACAGCAGCAGGTGTGGAGTACAGGTAGCCAAAGCCTATATGACGAGCTGTGCAGACCACAGATGGCAGAGCCAGAGAAGTATGACTGCCCAAGCCCTTTGGCACACAGTCAAAATCGAGTTAGACCAAGATGGTGGACACTGAACTTTAAAAAATTTTATTTATTATTTTTATTTTATGTGTATGAGTGTACTTTATTGGGTCATTTGAGTAATATTTTGCATTGACAATCTGTGGTATCTGGTCAGCTGGGGCTAAAGAATTAGTTATGATTAATAAGAGATCAACATCACTGAGATGAAATCTCGTGAGGAGTATTTTCTCAGGGTCATTACACAAAAGCTGTGTTCCAGTGGTGGGTAGGGGACGGTTATACCTCAAGGTGGAAGCCAAATATGGTACTGATTTTGAAGGCATGAAGGGTCATGGAGAGCAGCTGAGATGTGGCACTGTGAAAGGCCATGAGAGGTCAATGGTGAAGGCAAAGTCTCAGTTAAGGTGGAGATCCCAGGATACTGGAGATGCCAGGACTATGGGATGACCATGAAGGACAGCAGCAGGTGTGGAGTACAGGTAGCCAAAGCCTATATGACGAGCTGTGCAGACCACAGATGGCAGAGCCAGAGAAGTATGACTGCCCAAGCCCTTTGGCACACAGTCAAAATCGAGTTAGACCAAGATGGTGGACACTGAACTTTAAAAAATTTTATTTATTATTTTTATTTTATGTGTATGAGTGTATTGCCTGCATATATGTAAGTGTACCCATGTTGTACAATGCCTGTGGAGGTCAGAGGAGGGCGTCAGATCCCTTGGAACTGGAGTTAGGGATGGTTTTTAGCCGCCATGTGGGTACTGGGAACCAAACCCAGGTCCTCTGCAAGAGCAACCAGTGCCCTTAACTGCTGAGCTTTCTCTCCAGCCTTGACATGGGACTATTTAAACTTCTGGAGGTTGGTTTTGTTTTGATGTGATTATAAATGTGCCCTGATTTTTCCCTCTTGGAACAAGTATGTATACAACTTAGTTTTTATTTTACAAGAGCCCACAGTTAAAAGACACTAGACTTTTAAGTAATGGAATTATTAAAAGTCTATGGGACTTTTAAAAGTTGGACTATGTTTTATAATGTGATATTAACATAAAATCTCGAGGGTAAGAAATGCAAAAGGCATGGCTTGTAGTGATGTTTGTATGTCAAATTGAAAAAGGGTTAGTTTTTGTCAGCTTGACACAAATTAGAGTCACTTGGGAAGAGGGAAACTCAACTGAAGAATTTCCCAGATCAGATTGGCCTGTGGCCACCTTTGTGGCCGTTATCTTAATTGCTACTTGATGTGGGAGGGTTTAGCCTACTGTGGGCAGTGCTATCCCTAGGCAGGTGGGCCTGGGTTATATAAGAAAGGCAGCTGACAAACCAGAGGAAGAAAGCTTCAGTTCCTGCCTTGAGAGTTCCTGCCAGGACGTTCCTTGATGATGGGCTATATATAAGTTGAAGCAAACTCTTTCCTCCTCAAGTTGCTTTCAGTTATGGTGTTAATCACAGCAACAGAGAAACAAACCAAAACACAGCCCCACTAAAACATTCTACTTCTGGCATCTCCCAGCACCTACAGAGCCTGTGAAAGTAAAAGGTCTAGAATCTTCAATTTATTTGGACGCTCCATGAATCTACCTTTGGTACTGGCATTAAGAGGAAAGGCTTAATAACACTGTATATAAATAAGAACCTGACCAAAAGATAATGGCTCACTTATGTTAAATATCTAGCATCACAGGCAAAGCCTAATGAGATTAGGACTCCCTTTTATGACTTCAGAGTCTTTGAAGAAAATAACTGATCAAATATTCTTGTTCTAGGAAGAACAGATCACCAGCTCTAAGGGTGTCTCAACAATAGTTAATAAGCTACTGAATCCTTCAGAGAGGCCTCATGGGTAATGGAAATTGTCCAGAAGACTATTTGCTCTACTCATTTGATGATCAAAGTACTTCCCATTGAATTAGTTTATGCCCTAAGTCAAATAAAAAGGATAACCCTCAAGATAATTTCATTTAAGCCTCTCAAAATTAGGAATATAAATCAAATAACTCATGTTTATGAAATTCTCTTGAAATTAATGACTCAAGGAAGTTTTAATGATAGACATAGGACAAAATGAAGTTAACAAAATTTTCTAACACATAACCTGAAATGGTTAATTTTAGGTGTGAACCTGACTGGGCTAAGGGATAGCAAGGTGGCAGGTAAAGCATTATTTCTGGGCATGCCCGTGAGTCACTTTCTGGATGAGACTGGCATTTGAAGCAGTGGGCCAAGTAAAGATGGGTGGTCCGTATTCAGTGTGAATGAGGCAGAGGCAATGAGAGTTTTCTCTCCCTTCTGTAATCCATCATTTCTTGATGTTTGGAGTCAGAACTCCAGGCCACTCTGTGGTTTTCAGACTCAGAGACTTATACCAGTCCAGGCTTTCATATCTTCCTGAAGGTTAGACCATTGTTTTCCCTTGTTCTTAAACCCACAAATGTGGACTAAACTGTGCTGCTGAAATCAAACTGCAGATGGCATATCATAAAATTTCTCGACCAATTTCTATAATAAATCCCTACTCTTAATGTTCATCTGTCTGTCCATCTGTCCAGAATTCTGTTCCTCTAGAGAGCTTTGATTAATATACATTCCTAAACAAGAATCCACATAAATGACAAGAAAAGGGGGGTCCCAATGCATCTGGATAGGAGGCTATGTGAGTGCAGTTAAAAAACATTTTGGTTTTCTGAATAGCAACAACAACAACAAAAACTGGTGTTTGGCTTCCAATTATTGTGACAGATAAGTTGTAATAGAATGATATTCTGGATATCTGTGTTTTGGCCAAACTCTTGATTTCATAAATCTGTTTTGAATTTCCTTAATACTTAAGTGACAACCATTTTACAGCACTGTGATTTGTAGATATATAGTAATAACTTACTACTTAAGTGACAACCATTTTACAGCACTGTTGTATTTGTAGATATATAACTCTTCTTTCTCTTAACTTACAAGATTCATTTGGTTTATCTATGTGATTTAAGGCTAACCAAATCTAACCTGTAGCAACTAATGAACAAATATTTATTTATAGAATAAATACAACAATATAGGATTAAATTAAATGTATCCTTAGTTCCAAAACTTCCATCTGAGACATCCAAGCATATTGATTGACAAGGGTGCTGCAGCATAGTTTGAAATTTCAGACAGAAATACTCAACATCTTGCAATACTGTGGGAACTACTAGTCCAAAGTCATTCAAAGTTTCAACATTAGATGGACTTATATTCCTTTTGATGCCATCTTATCTGACATCTTATCATTATATAGCTAGGTTTTAGTAGTTTCTATAAGTAAAAGCAAGTATCATGTAAAAATCTATGCAGAATTTTAAGTGAAGGTGGCATAGCTAAACTGTTTCCAAGTCTTGAGAAGTTGTGCAATACCTAGCAGGTGCATAACATATATATTATATATGCGTATATATAGAATGAATGTTAAGTCATTAAGATATAATTCTTTTTTTTGTCTTTTCTTTTTTTGAGAC